TATATATATATCATTATGTTTCATTACTGTTACATACATTAAAATTATATTTTACTTTTTTCATTGTTTTCCATTAATCATACATGCGTAACATAATTAATAATTGTATTTATTATTTATTTTCAGCGTAATGTTGCACCCCATCTTCCCAGGTGCTTCAACTGCCCCACCCCGGCGGTGACCCCTCTTTCACACACTACACTGAATTGGAACATTCAGAAACCTCGGAGCTCTACTGACCTTCCTCCAGAACAGCCGGGGGCGTGCGGCGGCGGCTTCTTTGGCGCTTGCAGTTGGCTGCCACAGACACAACAGGCTGCTCTAGTACAACCTACGGGGAAGATTAGTAGTTAGTACGAGGTTAGGGGTTAGCGGGATTCTAGGACTTCCATTATTATTACATTTATAGTGAGTTCCGCTCAGAGGTGTCAGTACAACTACAGCATGCATTATACACACTCAAGACAATATACATACACACACTATGTTGCCAAAAGTATTGGGACGCCTTTACACGCACATGAACTTTAATGACATCCCAGTCTTAGTCCGTAGGGTTCAGTATTGGGTTGGCTCCGCCCTTTGCGCGCTATAACAGATTCAACTCTTCTGGGAAGGCGTCCACAAGGTTTAGGAGTGTGTCTATGGGAATGTTGGACCATTTGTGAGGTCAGGTACTGATGTTGGAGGAGAAGGCCGGGCTCGCAGTCTCCGCTCTAATTCATCCCAAAGGTGTTCTATGGGGTTGAGGTCAGGACTCTGTGCGGCCAGTCACGTTCCTCCGCCCCCAAACTCCCCCATCCGTGTCTTTATGGACCTTGCTTTGTGCTCTGGTGCGCAGTCATGTTGGAACAGGAAGGGGCCATCCCCAAACTCCTCCCACAAAGTTGGGAGCATGAAATTGTCCAAAATGTCTTGGTGTGCTGATGTCTTAAGAGTTACCGTCACTGGAACTAAGGGGCCAAGCCCAACCCCCCGAAAAACAACCCCCCCCCATAATCGCCCCTCCACCAAACTTTACACTTGGCACAATGCAGTCAGTCAAGTACCGTTCTCCTGGCAACTGCCAAACCCAGACACGCCCATCGGATTGCCAGACAGAGAAGCGTCTGCATGCCGAGGTGCCTCATCCTATACACCTGTGACCATGGAGGGGATTGGAACACCTGAATCCAATGATTTGGAGGGGGGTCCCAATACTTTAGCTAATATAGGATGTATATATATTTGTATTATTTGACAGTTATCAGATCTATAAGCAATTAAAATGATCTGTTGGTTCATGGAGGAAGACATTTTCCTACACACAGGGGACTTCCTGTGCACTGATCCCATTGCATAGAGAGCCTTCTTCAGCCTACGATGGATGCATAGAACAATACTTGTGTACTGTATTGTAGTTTTTGGTGGCTGTTTCTCTCAGCTCCAGTACTTTTAATAAAAATGATGATAATAATTTTTCCACTCCATAACACACTGGTGTCCTTCAGTGGAATACATAGCCAGGAAGCCGGGTGTGTATCGGAAAATACCTTCCTCCCCGAAACAGAATCTTTTTTTTTCGTTCAGTTTATATAAATTGAGATAAGTATACATTTTATATTATTATTAATATTTTACAGGATTTATATAGCGCCCACAGTTTATACAGTGTTTGTTTTTTTTAATTTGTTGTTTTTAATGTTTTATTCAATAAATCTTACAATAAAAATAGTTTCCTGCTTATATTTTGCCTTTCCTGGTTCCATCATCAACATGCTAATGAAATGTGTAAATAACATCTTTCCGTTTCATCACATGCCTTGTGCTTCTCTATGCAAGGGCTCGTGGAAAGGGGTCGGCACGGGGCTGTGCATAGCTTCTCGAAAAACATCACAGCCGCCCTGACTCAGTACTCCTCAGTCCTGATGCAAGCAGTGGGCTGGCTCGTGGGAGGAGTTATGCAAATATCCAAATGCCTTGATGGTTTAGTGTCTGGAAGAGTGTGTGTTTGTAGGTAGACTGCATTTGCATAGGTAACGCCCATATGCACTTCTGGCCAATTAATGAAAGTCAGGCTGGTGAGAAAAGACTCTAGATGATGCTGGCTGTCAGATACAAGACTGGAGGGAAGGCCGGAGGTGAGATACAAGACTGGAGGGAAGGCCGGAGGTGAGATACAAGACTGGAGTTAAGGCCGGAGGTCAGCTCTCAGATTTGAGTCCCTGTGTCATGTGTCCCTGTGTCAGGGATATTCCGAGTCCTACTTTTGGGCTCTATGTCACCCATATTGAGAGCTGGTAATTCCAACACAAGAGCTGGATGTTCAGATGCCAAACCAACTCCCAGCCATGGCTCCACACCACCAACGAGGGATGGAGTACTGGCAACAAGGAGCCAATCCCATACCTGATAACCCGGCCAGCCAATAGAAGTCACATTTCTGTGCCAGAAGGAGTATCATCAACTCTATGGAACACATGGTTCATGATGATGATATCAATAAAACCCAATACTTAGTCTCCATTCCACGATGGCTCAATGGGTTTTTAGCCTGACGATGGTTTTGGAGACCAGAGTTCGAATCCCAATCCTGAGATATCATCAGAACTGTTTTTTAGGGTCCAACTCAGGCATTTGGCCTGTTTTATTCCTGAAATAGGGGAATGAAGGAATGAGCTGTAGAGCAGAGACAAGTAGCTTAGTGGATAAGAGTGTTGACCCAGGGCACCGTAGACCTGAGTTCAAATCTGCACAAGTGCTGAAGACTCCTGAGGGCCAACCAATATAAGCACTGCCGACCTCAGGTGTGAAGCCATGCAAGCACTGCAGACCCTCAAGTGCAATACCACAAGAGTGCTGTAGAACCCTGAGTGCAAGAACAAAATCCATGAGAACACTGCAGGCTCTGAGAATGCAAAGCCATGAAAGTACACTAGACCCCACTGAGTGTGATTACACTAGAGTGCTGTTGCTCCCGGTGTGCAAAACCAGAAGAGTGTGCAATACCAGAAAAGCACTGTAGACCCCCAAGTGCAGATCCAGCAAGGGGCTGCAGGCTCCAAGAATGCAAATCCATGGTGTGGACTTCCCAAGATGCCACAAGAACTCTACCTCCCAAGTGCAATACTACAAGAGCACTGTAGACCAGGAAAGCTAGACCAGGAGAGCACTGTAGACGCTGAGGGCAAGTACATGGAAGCATAGTTGACTCAAGCTCAAGTCACAGTGAGACCATGGGCAACCTACCAGTCTGCTCCAGCCCAAGGTATGTAACATCTGTGGGCATCACAAGAGAATGTGGACTACCCCTTGGACTTATCACCCATATTGAGAGCTGGTAACTCCAACACAAGAGCTGGATCTTCAAATGCCAGCCAACTCCCAACCATGGCTCTGTACCACCAACCAAGGATAGAGTACTGGCAACAAGGAGCCAATCACATACCTGATAACCCGCAAACCAATAGAAGTCACATTTCTGTGCTAGTGGAATCATCAACCCATAAAGTCCATGATGATGATATCAATAAAACCCAAAACTAAGTCTCCATTTCACTATGGCTCAAAAGATTTTTAGCCTGACGATGGTTTTTGAGACCAGAGTTCGAATTCCAATCCTGAGATATCATCAGTACTGGTTTTTAGGGTCCAACTCACGGTCCAGAAGTGGTTAATCCCCGTGTATATATTAAGTCCTTATGAACCCTTCTACTTCTTAAGTAGGAGAACGAGCACATGATTAATGAAGGTGCACAGTGAGTGAGCACGAATCCAAGACCACATCAAAAAGCCTTTCACATTTTATTTACGAAGTCTGGAAGCTCCGGGTACCTGGCTGCCAAGTCCACAAACCACACCCCTAAATATGAATACAAAATAGTATAAGTCCCACTTTTTGCCTATTTTATTTACAAAGTCTTGCTACTAAGTGTTGACATACAAGAGGACAGCCGGTGGGAAGCCTGAGTCAGAGCTTGTGTGGCTCAAGAGTTTAGCAACCTGCCTGCAATTTTAGAGTTGCAGGTTTGAATTCGAGTTCATTTATTTTGAATTTTGGGGCAGCGTTGGTCCCATTTCACTATATGGTCATTTAGAACACCATCCAATAAAAATGTTGAAGTCTTGGCTCGTCTATTGGAACTTTTGGCCGTCCCTGAGAACATTTCACTTACTAAGTCTTCATTTGCTCTACTGCGATACAAAGGGCCGGCTGGCTCAGTGGTTTAACAGACAGCCCACAACCTACCAAAGATTTTTGGAATTGCCGGTTCAAAACTGAGCTCTTCTGTTTGTCTTTTTGAATCATAGATCAAGTTCCACTTACTAAGTCTTCATTTACACTGCAGCAAGCCGAGGGGCCAGCTGGCTCAGTGGTTTAGCAGACAGCCCACAACCCGCCAGAGATTTTGGAGTTGCAGGTTCATATCCTGATTTATCTCCTTGCATTTGGCCTGTTTTACTCCTGAAATAGGGGAATGAAGAGTTGAGCTGCTGAGCAGAGCCAAGTAGCTCAGTGGATAAGAGTGTTGACCCAGGGAACCTAAGACCTGAGTTCAAGTCCACACAGAAGCTGTTGACACCTGAGGGCCAACCAATGAAAGCACTGCAGGCCTTGAGTGTGAATCTTTGCATGCACTGTAGACCCATAAGTGCAATGCCACAAAAGCACTGTATGCAATACCACAACGAGTTGTGGATCCCTGAGTGCAAATCCATGAAAACTCTGTAGAGTCCTGAGTGCAAATCCATGAAAATGCTGTAGACCCCCAAGTGCAATACCACAAGTACCTCCAAGTGCAATACCACAAGAGTGCAGTGTATCCCTGAGTGTGGATCTATGAAAACCCTGCAGACCCCCAAGTGCAATATCACAAGAGCAAATCCATGAAAGCACTGTAGGCTCTGAGAATGCAAAGCCATGAAAGTGCAGTAGACCCCTCTGAGTGTAATACCACAAGATTGCTGGTGAAACCACAAGAGTGCTGTAAACCCCTAAGTGCAGATCCAGCAAGGGGCTGCAGAATGCATGGTGTGGACTTACCAAGATGCCCCAAGAGCTGTAGATCCCAAGTGCAATACCACAAGAGCACTGTAGACATAACATCTACTACTATATCATCAACTACTCCAACCCATTGCCATCATGAGGTCATTAAGGAGGCTTCCATTCCCTTTAGATATATATTTAATGTTGGCTGAATAGTATTATAACAAGTCAGAGATATTCTGAGTCCTACTTTTGGGCTCTTTGTCACCAATATTGAGAGCTGGTAATTCCAACACAAGAGCTGGACCTTCAGATGCCAAACCAACTCCCAACCATGGCACCGGGCCTGACATTTCATCATATCATCATCCGCACCACCAACGAGGGATGGAATACTGGCAACAAGGAGCCAATCACATACCTGATAACCCGGCAAACCAATAGAAGTCACATTTCTGTGCCAGGAGTATCATCGTCTCTACGGAACATAAATTTCATGATATCAATAAATCCCAAAACAAAGTCTCCTTTCCACAATGGCTCAAAGGGTTTTTGGCCTGCAGATGGTTTTGGAGACCAGAGTTCGAATCCCAATCCTGAGAGATCATCAGAACTGGTGTTTAGGGTCCAACTTACGGTCCAGAAGTGGTTAATCCTGGTGTATATATTAATTCTTCTACTTCTTGAGTAGGAGAAGGAGCACATGAATAATGAAGGTGCACAATGAGTGAGGGTCATGACGGCCCACCATGAATCCAAGACCACATCAAAAGGCCTTTCCCATTTTATTTACGAAGTCTGGAAGCTCCGGGGGCCTGGCTGCCAAATACGCAAACCACACCCCTAAATATGAATACAAAATAGTATAAGTCCCACTTTTTGCTAATTTTATGTACAGTCTTAATTTACTAAGTGTTGACATACAAGAGGCCAGCCGGTGGGAAGCCTGAGTCAGAGCTTGTGTGGCTCAAGTGTTTAGCAACCTGCCTTCAATTTTGGAGTCGCAGGTTCGAATCCGAGTTCATTTATTTTGAATTTTGGGGCAGCGCTGGTCCCATTTCACTATATGGTCATTTAGAACACCGAGCCTTGAAGGCTGATATCTCTTACTAAGTCTTCATTTGCTCTCCTGATATGCAAAGGGCTGTCTGGCCCAGTGGTTTAGCAGACAGCCTACAAACTACCACAGATTTTGGAATTCCCGGTTCAAATCTGAGCTCATCTGTTTGACTTTTTGAAGCATAGATCGAATTCCACTTACTAAGTCTTCATTTACTCTACAGACTTTGAAGAGCCAGCTGGCTCCGTGGTGTAGCAGACAGCCTACAACCCACCAGATATTTTGGTGGGTTGTATCTCCTGTTTTACTCCTGAAATAGGAGAATGAAGAGATGAGTTGCTGAGCAGAGGCGAGTAGCTCAGTGGATAGGAGCGTTGACTCATGGCACCGTAGACCTGAGTTCAAATCCACACAAGTGCTATCAACACCCGTGGGCCAACCAATGAAAGCACTACAGACCTTGAGTGTGAATCCCTTAAGTGCAATACCACAAGACCTCTGAGTGCGACTCCACAAGAGCAAATCCATGAAAGCGCTGCAGGCTCTGAGAATGCAAAGAAAGTGCATTAGACCCATCAAGATTGCTGTTGACCCCTGTGTGTGAAACCACAAGAGTGCTGTAGATCCAGCAAGAAGCTACACACTCAGAGAATGTGGACACCACAAGTCACTGAGTAAAGATCACGTGTGTGGGGAACACAAGAGACTACTCTCTCTCTCAATTCAGAATTATAATTTTTTTTTTGGGAGGCAAGATCTATCCCGTCCAAAGCCTCTCCTAGGTGCTGTGCAGTACCTGATCTCCCTATTGGTGGGACAGACTACTGCATCTGAAGCATTTGCCACTGCCCTGCCAACACCCTCAGGAGGCTCAGGTGCTGCACAGCACCCAGGAAATACAGCACTCTTGTGGCATCTCACTCAGAGGGTCTTCAGCAACGCACTCAGGGGGTCTTCAGCAACGCACTCAGGGGGTCTACAGCACTCTTCGCCTATTCGCACTCGGGGGGTCTACAGAGCCTGCAGCGCTTTCACAGATTTGGAGTCTTCAGCTCTTGTGTGGATTCGAACTCAGGTCTCCAGCACACCAGTCAGAGCTCTAACCCTCTGAGCCACCACCTCAGCTCAACCCTTGAAGTGCTCGTTCTTCTAGTTCAGGAGTAGAAAGAATTTATACAATACAAAAAAAAAAAATCAACCGATAAATCAGAAGAATTTCCTTTGAAAAAAAAATTCCATTTGTTTAAAGACTTGGAAAGTTTTCCCCCTTCTAACAGTAAATGTGGTTTTGGGTTCTGAGGTTTTTGGGTGCCAGGAGATGCCAAAGATTGCCCCAATAACAGTCTTTTGACTCCAATGCAGGGGCAGGGTAACCCCATGGAGTCCGAATTTCTGAATAGCATTTGGGAGCTCCAGAATGCCATTCGGGTCTGGGAGCCATATACATAATATTAAAGCTGAGGCCTCCAGACCCGAATGGCATTCTGGAGCTCCTGACTGCTATTCAGAAATTGGGACTCCATTCGGCTCTGGGAGCCTCAGCTTTAGTATTATGTATAAATAGTATTCTTTAATACGAATGAATATTCGTTGCGGCAACATTGGCAGCCATATATAACTAAAACTAAAGCTGAGGCTCCCAGACCCCAATTTCGCAAACGGAAATTTGGATTTGGACACTTTTGGATGCATTGGGAGGCGGAAATTCGAGTGTCTGAATTTCGGAAAATTTGGACGAATTTTTATTCGGAATGAAACGAATCGCACACGTCTACCTTATATTGTAAAGCTCTGTGCACAGGGCCGGATTTCCCACAAGGTCACCGAGGCCCGGCCAAGGGGCAGCAGGGAGTAGAGGGGCAGCACAGCCGCCGGGCGGGTAGTTTTTTTCTACATTAAGCACTACTTTGGGGCAATTGAGGAGCCAGACCTTGGGGCAGCAGAGAGAGTACATCCAGCCCTGTCTGTGCAGAGTGTTGGCGCTATATAAATCCTGTATAATAATAATAAATAATAATATTAGTAATAATAAAAATAATA